GAGAGGAGCAGAGAGGGCGAAGCAGAGGAGCCCACAGACGACTCACTGCCCCCATCGGGAGACGGTGGAGGCCACGAGGCAGTGGAGGAGAAGCTCCTTGAGATCCAAGGGAAAATCGAGGCTGTGGAGATGCACCTGACCAGGGAGCACATGAAGCGCGTCCTAGGGGAAGTGTACCTGCACACCTGGATCACGGAGAACACCAGCATCCCCACCAGAGGGCTCTGCAACTTTCTAATGTCTGACGAAGAGTACGAGGACAGAACAGCTCGGGTAGGTGTTTCCCAAAACTGTCACGTCTGCTTCCTTTCTGAGAGAGACGTGGCAGATTGGGTCACTAGAGCTAAGCTTTCATGTTGGCACTTTGTAGGTAATTGATTGGCATGAGGTTAGGGAAACAAAGAGGAAATAGGGGTTAAATGCAAGGACACTTTCTTAGTACACAAAGAATGTTGGGTTCTTCCTTATGGTGGCCTGGGCTGGGGCACAGGGCTTGCCAGAGGAGCTTTCCAGGCTGTGGATGAGCTTGGGGAGGCTGTGTGAGCAGAGAGCAGTGTGGTGGAGGTTCCATGCCTTGCTCCCTGCCCATCCTGTTTTATACAAGTTCTAGGTAGGGGGCACATTTTTGGTTTTAAAGGACTTAAAGAGGCCTTCTGGTTTTGCCAAAACACACAAAGGAAACATATATATTTTATTTTTACAAAAACTGAGTATTTTTCTTGTCACTGGAACAGTCTTCAGTGTTATATAAAACATGTTCTGTAGCATTTGGGGTCCCTGAGAGAACACCAGGATCCCAAGCCTGGGGACACTGCATACTCTCTGTTCCTCTTAAGGGACCCTGTGCAGGTAGCCATTCTGAGGGTTCTGAAAACTCCCTACAGAAGAGAAATGTGCCTTTGTCACCCAGATGTCTCYGCCAGGGAAGCATCCTAGCAGCTAGCATCTGCTGAGATACCAAAGAACGCAGCTCCGAGGAGCACGCTGTGTGCACAGGTGTTCAGAACCACARCCTGGCCTTTTGCTCTGAAGACTAGCACTATTCTCACTGCCTCAAGTCTCATTTAACAAGTATTATTTGAAAACAGAAAATTCAAGTATCTTCATCCTTAATGTTAAATCATTCAGAAATCACTCATTACATTTTCTTGCTGGCAGTGACACTTGTCCTTCCTGAAACGACTGCCAAGATGTCTGCAGTGACCCTCAGAGTGGCCAAGGTGCGCTGGTCATGTAACTGACTTTTCTACTTTAAAAGTCAGCTTTTAAGTAGTGTTTCCTTATGTTTCAATTRCCTGGGAAAGTGTTCTGGTTGTCATCAAGTCATGGGACTGACTCGAGGGTCATTGAGATGGCAAAAGCGTTGTGGAGAATGAGTAATGAAGTTCGTTCTTATTAGTTTATAATTCTGGTTTAGATGCTGTGTGGACTTGGGAAGCTGTGTCCAGCTGGTTGGTTCCAGCAAAGCCAGTCTGAAAAATGGAAAGATTATACCTACCTGGCTATACCAACTGCATTCTGACTGCAGACAGTGCACTCTGCGTCTTAAAATCTTAACTGTGTACTTCAGTTGAAGGCCTTTTTAGTTGAAGGTCTGGGCTGGGCTGTAGCTCAATGTCTGAGTGTTTGCACCATGGGCCAAGAAGAAAATCCTCCCTCCTGGGATGTTGCTCTTACCAGTGGTCATGAACCACCTCTGAGATTCCTGCCTGGCAGGCTGTGCTTTTCAACCTTTCGTTTATTATCACCTTCCCCTGGAGTGTTCTTTTTTTCCTGATTATTCCTGCCCATGGAATGTTAATATGACAGATATATTGTTTGTTTACATGATATATTTGTGTGTGTGTGTGTGTATATATATATGTGTGTGTGTGTGTATATATATATATATATATATACACACACACACACACACTTGAATACTTAAGATTAAGGCTGGGCATGGTGACACACGTCTGTAATCCCAGTGGCTCAGGAGACTGAGGCAGGAGAATTGTAGGTTCAAAGCCAGCTCAGCAATTTAGTGAAACTGTAAGCAATTTAATGAAATCCTGTCTCAAAAAAAATTAAAAGGCTGGGGATGTGGTTCAGTGGTTAAGTGCCTGGGTTCATCCCTGGTAACAAAACAAAACAAAAMAAAWWTTTTTTTAAGGATATTTTGTCCCCCAAGAACCAATATTTGTCTTTCATGAAGAACTATGAGCCCCGTTGAGAGTGAGTCAGATGAAATAGTTGGGCTTTATGATGGAAGCCACGGAGAGCACCGCACAGTAGTCTTAGGTACATCTGCACTGCAGGAACTCTGGGCTGGCTTGACATGTCTATGACTGGTCCTAAGTTAGATCCTTTTTGTTTTTTTGGTAGTTCTGGGGACTGAACCAGGGCCTCTTACATGCTATGCAAGCAGTTTGCTACTGAGCTACTTTGAAATTTAAGTGAACTAATTTTAGTGAATTAATCCAAAATCTTACAGATTCTTCACAAGAAGTATAAATGGATTCAAAATTTGGAAAGGCACTATGCTAGTTAGAAAAGGTGGTTCTAAAGGGTTGGCACGTCCTGTGCTTCCCAATGAGGTAGAAGAGAGGTTTTGTTTCATTTTTTTTCCCAGTAAAATGATGGCTGGGCCGTGGTGCATGCCTGTAATCCCAGCTAAGAGCAGGAAGGACTCCAGGTTCCAGGCCAGCCTAAGCGACTTAGTGAGATCCTGTCTCAAAATAAAAGAGCTGGGGATTATGGCTCAGGGGTGGAGTGCTTCCCTGACATGTGTTGGGTTTAACCCCCAACACCCCAAAAAGGGAAGAAAAGAAGAAAATAATGAAGTGGATTTGTGTTTTTCAGATTTTGTTTTGAAGAGTGTGATCTTAACAGTAGAGGGAAGCAAAGCTAGAGGAGGGCAAGGCCTAGCGTGCCGCTGCCCCCCCCCCATCTCACTCTGCTTCCTGCCCTCCCAAGGCGCGTCTTGCCACGCCTCTGCAGCGGGTGTCTGGACCTCAGAGGCAGGCTGCCTGACTGGCTCAGCCGTGGATCTTGGGCCATCAGAAGGAAAATTATTTTTTAATCCTGACTCTTGTACTCGTAAGCCTTTCTCAAAGGGTAGACGTTTGTAGAGTTCTATAAAGTTGGCAGTATCACTCAATATTTTGTATGGAGGTTAATGTCAAAACATTATTAATAACCGCAAAATCCTTGCTTCAGACAGGAGCAACTAAAGCAAGGCAAGTAGTGTGAGTTTGGTCCTCACAGTTTTTCCCGTAATGGTCCTGGTTCACCCTGTGGTCACAAGGTGCCTGAATGTGTTTGTTTTATTCAGTCAGTTGACATGTCCAAGGTCCAGCTTTCCTGTCCGACAGCAAGCCTGGCTAGTGTGGAAGTGCAGAGTCCCATTCAGCCCTGTGTGGCTGTCTCCTCATAACAGGTTTTGCTCCAGGACACCTGCAACCATTGCTGACCGCTGACCACTTTGTCTCGCTAGGTGCTGATCGGACACATCTCAAAGAAGATGAACAAACAGACTTTCCCTGAACACTGCAGCTTGTGTAAAGAGATCTTGCCATTCACAGATCGCAAGCAGGCCGTCTGCTCTAATGGGCACATCTGGCTCCGGTAAGCCGGTATCTCACCTCTGCTCTTGCTCATTTCTCAGTGTTGTGTAGCGTGAGCCACTGTGGCCAAGAGTAGGTGACCTCATTACGTGTCGCCCACCACTACATTAGAGGAGATCTGCAGTCTGAAGCCTGGTGTGGACTCCTCCTCAGTCTGACTGGAGCAGGACCTTGAAGGACAGACTTGCTGCCTGGTTTATAGAGGCTTCCAGTTTGCTTTGGTTGTACTGTTTTTCTGTAAAGTAGTGGGAAGTTCCTAAAGGAATTATTACAAAATGTTGTCTGTTGAATGGATGAGTTTATGTGTGCTCCTGGACACATTTTTTATTTGTTGAATTTATGATGAAAGGTAGAAGCCTTTCTCCTCCCATCCTCATAGTCTATACCAACTGTGAGCCTCTTGGACAGTCCTTGCTTCCTCACCTGGCTCTCCCCTGCTCTTCTCCTCCTCCCCTCCATGTGGGTCTGGGGCCTGTCCTCCTCTCAGCCTCCTGGAGGCCCGCACCCCAGCCATGACTGGGGAGCTTATGTCTCTGGCCTCCCTCTGGACCTGGGGCCTCACTGCTGCTCGGCCTCTCAGGGGTGTTGCAAGCGCTTCACACGGCCCAGCCTCGTCTCACTGCTCCGTCTCTGCCCTGTCTCTGGCCCACGGATCGTAGCTGTCTCCCCTGGTCTTGCCKCCTGCCTCCCTGCCTCGACAGTCTTCTCAGCCTAGTCGTCACTCTGATCCTGTCCACACATGGTCAGCTCCTGCAGCCCTCTGAACAAACTGTTCTGATGTGCAGGGCTGATTCCTTTCAGTGACTYGAGTGCTCCACACACCAGGGCCCTCCTCCCCACCTCCTCGCTTTGACCTCTCTGTCGCTCTCTGCATTCCAGGTGACYTGGACTCTTTGCTCAGGTCCGTGAGGGACACCTGCTCTGGCTCTTTGTGGGGCTGACCCCTCCACCTGTAGGCTCTTCCAGCAGATACCWTGTGCCTTCCTCAGAAGTCCCCTTCTCGGCCCTCCGACTCACTGGCTAAAGTTGTAGTGCCTGCTGACCCCCTTTCCTCCCGCGTTTGGCACCCTCTTCCCGCCTTGCTTCCTCCTCCATGGTCACTGTTATGTGGCATGTTACGTTTGTCTACTTCTTCTCTCTCCTGTGGACAGGGAAACTCCATGAGGACAGGGACTTTGGTGTTTTGATCACAGCTCTTTCTGAAACTGTGCCTGGTGTGTGGAGGYCCTCAGTAGACACTAATTGAGGGGCTGTTAGAGCCTGCCAGCTGGCCACCAGGCTGCGTGCTGCACGTGTTGTCAGCATTGGTACCGCTGCCCCGTGTGTAACAGCGCTAGGGTTCTCCGTGTGTGAACGCTGTGTGATTTATTCCTTCATTGGAAGGTGTCTTTTTGTTTTTGTTTTGTTTTGTTCTGATTCTGATTTTACTCTTCGGACTTTGGTTTTTYTTCTTTCTTTTTTTCTTTTTTTTTWAAATTTCTTCAGAATATGAAACAAGCTTATGGTAGACTTTCGGTTTACAGTAAAAAGAACATTTCTTGAGCACTGACAACCTTGCAGGCACAGTCTCAGCAGTGATGTGTCTTACATCACTGTACCTCCTAAAAACCCCACGCAGGAGATGCCACGTTGTTCACATCTATAGACAAGACACTGCGTTGCAAGAGTGAGTGAATTTGCCCGTCACACCGGTGGTTTGTGGCAGAGCTCAGAGCCTGGCCTGCTGGCTCCAGAGTCCACGTGTGACCTCTGTGTGTCAACCCCTCCTAGGTGCACTCTTTCACAAAAGTTGTTTTCCATTTTGTTGATTAAAGTAGTGCTAAAGTACCTCAGCATGGTCTCTCTCCATGAGGTTGGGTGCTAGCTTCTCTCAGGTGGGCTGTTCCACCCTATGATCAGGTCTTCACTCCAGGTGAATCTGCTTGAAGCCCCTTTCCCTAACCCTCTCCTGTTTGTATTCCCAGCTCCCTAATCGCTCAGGGAAAACTACGGACTTTGGGGAGACGACCTCCAGGGCCCACCTGCACCCTTGACCACCTCATGGCCTCCACTTGCCCCTTTGGCCTGGTCTTGGTAGATGCTTGGTGAGGACCTGTTGGGTGGAATTGAATCATTGGTGCCCTTCGGGTTTTCCTCATAGCTGTCAGGTTTTTAAAGATAGTGCTTCTACCTAAGCCTAGCAGTGACTAACAAGAATGACCTTCCGTGTAATAGTGTGCTCAATTATTTTTTAACATAATAAGAATTGAGAATAGTCAGGGATGACAGATTAAATCCTCCCAGTGCTGCAGTCACACAGCACCTGCAGTGAGTATCTGGCCTGGAGGCAGTGTGTCTCTGGTCAGTAACATGACAGGCCACTTCCTTCTTGCTAAGTGCGGGTGATGCAGGTTTGCCCTGTGGGGACACTAGGGTAGGGCGCGTTGTTGCCATAACCCTGCTGGAGCTGCCCTCAGCCCYTGCCGCCTTCCCAGTGTTGGTGGGACCCAGGCTCACCCCTGCCCTGACAGTACAATCGCTCTTCTCTCAGGTGCTTCTTAACCTACCAGTCCTGCCAGAGCTTGATATACAGACGGTGTTTGCTCCATGACAGCATCGCTCGGCACCCAGCCCCAGAAGGTGAGTGCTTTCCCATCCAGGGGGCAAGGAGGTGTGGGTGGGCAGTGTGCTAGTGCTAGCACCCCACATCATGGCTGGGTTGGGCTCCACACTGCTGTGTCCGTTGTCAGGGACAGAGCAGGCTCCGGCCGCTTCACAGTGTTGCTGTGAAGCCAGAACTGATTAGGAAATGGTCCCTGGAGTGTGTGTTGTTAAGTGCACACTGCCTTTACTTCGAGCAAAGTGGATCTTGGCTGCTGCTCTGTCACTGCGGACTGACCAGGGTTTGTAGAATGTTGGAAACTTAAGCCCAAAGAGTAGGGTGCTTTGTCTAGGGACACATGGTCATTGCAAAACTGGGGCCAGAATGTGGTCTTGATGCTGCTGTGCAGCACGCATCCTGTTTGGGCCTGCTCTAGGCTGGTGCTTGACGCCTCTCATCTTCCTTCTGCAGATCCTGACTGGATTAAGAGGTTGCTGCAGAGCCCCTGTCCTTTCTGTGATTCTCCTGTCTTCTGAATGCAGTAGTGGAGGGCAGAAGGGCGTGAGCTGTGGAACATTCCAGAGCATGGGAAGCCRTGCGCTGGAGGAAGCCGACTGCGTGGAGAGGTGCTCTTCCTAACTGTCGCCAGGGCCTCTCTGGGAGGGCAGCGCACAYCATCTCCAGGACTAAAAGATATCTTTCAAGTGACTGAAGGCTTAGTGTCATTTTGAGATGAACGTGGTCCCCCAGCTCCTTACCCARTGAGGAACGTTTACTTTCAAGTGTCTTGATGAAAACAGTTTGAACAAAAAATTGTCCTATGGAATGTAGGAACCTGGTGGTCTCTGGTAGAGAATCGTGTGAGGGCCTTCTGGGCTGAGTTAGGTCTTATCCTTTTTTGGTCTGAGGCGGCCCATGGCTCTAGAGGGCTTGAATAGCCTGGTCCGTGCATTCCACGCACCAACAGATATTAAAAGTATTAAAACAATGTGTGGGCTGATGTTTTGCTCCCAGTGCATAGCTGCAGATCTGTGTCCAGTTGACTCTTGTTTCTCATGCATATGGATAACATTTTCCTTTAAAATTTTATATTTTTAAGAA